TGCCAGAAAAACAGAAAATCAGTGAGCGTCTGCCTTTTTCTTCTTTTGAGGAGAGCCACTGGTTTTACATTAGACTGGGGTCCCCCAGTCCTGGTCCTGGAGGGCTGGTACTGTATGTCTGCTGGTCTTTCAGGTCTCTTCAAAACAGCAGCACCTGAAGAGCTGGGACAAGCTGCTCAGTTGGTCCAGTTAAGTCAGGGATGAGCTGAACACTGCAGGCAGACTGGCCCCCAGGACCAGGACTGGGGACTCGGGCACTAGATGCAATAAATCTGAAAGTTATACTGTGTCTCGTCATTGTGACAGCTGTGCTTCAGCAACCCCAGACCCTGGACACATTTTGGCAGTGAGGGTAGTTTGCAAGCTTTCACCCAGGTAACATAAAATGCTTTACTGTTGCTTCTGCACTTTTCTGCTTTCGTTTCTAAACATTGGGAAACTGGTCAATTAGTTCTGAAGGTTAATATCCCGTCACTTGACCTGTCCGTATATAAAGTCATCTGACATCCACCTTCAGATATGACCAAGCCTGAATAATCTCAGCCCTTTGGGCAGAGGACAGATATTTTTTTTAAATTCCACCCGTCATAATTTGGGTCATATTTGGGTCATACTTTGACTCAGAACTGTAACAGAAGGAATTTGCGGCACATCAATCTATTTCACTATTCCACTAGGGGGCGATCTGGCCCACCCAGTCCTTCTGGCTGTGAGGAGTTAATTGAACCGTGGATCTCCTCCAGCTGACTTGAAGGAGACCAGGGTATCGGCTACAGCAACATGACTGGGTAGCTGGTTCCAGACTCCCACAACCCTTTGTGTAAAGACGTGTCTCCTATTCTCAGTTCTAAGTGCACTTCCGCACCGTTTCCACTTGTTCCCCTTTGTTCGAGTTTAACCGCTTTGCGTGCACTCCCCCCCGCTCGGCTTCTTCCTTACGCAGAGGGCCGCTCGTTGAGGGAGGACAGGGACGGGCCGCGTGTCAGGGATGGGGCCACTGGACACTGGACTGCTTCGGGCGCCCGGGTGCTCCTCCTGAAGAGGACACGAGAGAGTTACACACTCGGTCACTCCACAGTTCCTCACACACAAACTGGCTATGCACCAACCAACACGCCCATCGCCAGTCTGTGAGCCTCGGCCCGACAGAACTCGCTTGGGCTGAACTTGGAGTGTCTCCGTCTTAAATCTGTATTTCTCAGGAGTCAAATCACAACACCGTAGTTAATCAGAACATTAATCCTGCCAGGAATCCAATCTCAATACTGTATTCAATCAGCGCATCACGTATGTGTATTAAGTCTCCCCGTAGACACTAAAGCATATGATTAAATACTAGGAACAACATGAGTGTTTGAGACTCGCTGAAGTTGCCCTGCCGTCTGCGTTACATGGTAACTGCAGGTTCAGGTGATGAAACGGACACTCCGGTTTCCATTTTCAGGCAGATACAATCTAACAATCGCACAGTGTGATATGAACAGTTCGAAAAGCGCTCGGTATGGCTTTAGAGAGGTTTTCTGCGCTGCGACGCCACATGATTTGCACTGCAGTATTTTTCACCCTGTGGGAACCGTCCAATGATCTTTTTATTTTTTGCTTTGAGTGTGACCGTGTCTGTCCGTGTAGCTGGGACAGTCTCGTACAAAACCGCTGTGTATTCCCGGATGTCCGTGCGATGTTTGTCGAGCGAAGTGAGCCGAGGGCCTGTAAAATAAGCTCGGGGCTGTGGTGGTGGGTTCTGTGCACATACCCCAGAGTACCTCCGGGCTCCCTCGACGGCTGTTTACGGTTCATGGTCCCTGTTCTTCCCAGCTGCTTGCTCGAGTCCTGCGGGTGAGAAGTGGTTTATATATATATATTTCATTTAATATTTTTGTATTTTAACGGCACAAACTGCACAGGACACAAAGATTTGAGTGATCTGTCCTACCCACCCCTCTGTACGTCTTCGTAGGTTTGTTATTTAATGTCTGAGAGTTTGTAACCGAGAGTTTGTTTGTTTGTTCCAGGGTTTTTTTTAGTTGCTACACTGAAAGCACAACAATCAACGTTCTTGGTACTTTTTTTGATACTTGTAACGTTAACAAAACTCATTCTAAAAGGAAGGTACGTTCCGTTGCAAATTCTACTTTATCTTCTCTAGGTTTGTGGTATCATTTGAAAACCTTCCGTCTTTGACCTTTGTATCGCCGTGCATGAACTGAGGAAGATGTGCATTTCTGCTGCACCGAGCAAGGTTTTAACTCGCCACTTCTCAAACTGACGTTCTTCAGCTGGCCTGCAGTTTTTGAGCTCGTCTTTTGCGTGTGGTTTGGAAATTGAGGTCACTGGAACTTTGACAGACGGCTCCGTTTCACACGGAAGGATGTGACTCGGTTTCATTGTGCAAAAACCACAGTTTGCACACTGTGCTAGTTTAGCCGCCGGCAGTTTTGTCTGGGGAGTAAGCAGCTAAGGAACGTGAAAGCATCGATTGAGATGAAGTTTTTTTTTAATGTCATTGTTAGCGGATGTCGCCTAGATGAAGATCCGAATCTTTGTGTTGCGCGCGGGGGGAGGTGCAAACATTCTCCTCCCACACGATTATCTCCACGTGCTGTTAATTATTTGACGTGTTGGGGAGCCACACGGTGCTTTACAGTCACTACGAGCCCTTGCAGGAGACACCACTGTGAGGAAGACAGTAACTCTGAGTAACTCAAGGCCACCCAGCCCTAGGCGTGCTCGGTCAGTTATGCGTCCCCTGTTGGAGAACACCGGTCACTGTTTGTGCCATACTGTATGTACTGTTACTGCAAGTGACGAATGGCCATTGAGCATAAAATAGGTTTTGTGAGGAAGTTCCCAGCTTGTCCTGAGACGGGTTTACCTTCATCCCGTGACCCACGCTGTCCAGAGTTGCGTACGCGATAGGGGTGCGGGAGTATTTAGTCTTCTGCTCGGGGGTGGCAGGCGGGGGGATAATTTTCTGGTTGCGCGGCATCCTCTTCACCGTGGTGAAAACGCCGATCTCTCGCCGCGAAACCTTTTCCCGGTGCATGTCCACTGTCTGGGAGGACACCAGCAAGTGGAGGTAAAAAAAAAAAAGACAGGCAGCAAGATCGCATAGATCCACGCCAAGGGGAAGCATGCAAACAAGCCCAACTATATTCAGATGAAAAATAAATCTCTCTCTCTTGAATCTCTGTAAATCTCTTAAATTCTCATTCATACCTGTAGCTGTACCCCTACTTAACACTTGATTTTCTATGCAAATATGTAGTGTATGCTTATAGTTATTGTTTTGGTGTGTACACCAGCACCGCTGCTGTAAAACACACTGCCCCCTTGGGGATAATAAAGACTCTCTCTCCCTCCTTCAGTTACTCGGCACTCGTTGCAATCTTTCCGACCCCTGGGACTGTGACAGCTAGCAGCCCAGGCACCTTCCAGAGTGAACACTCCTGGGAGCACGTCTCGGGCCCTGCCGTGCGAATGCCGAAACTAGGTTTCAGAGGTCGGCGTGCTACCTCGGAACCGGAGGCGGCCGCGTTTGGGATGCCAAGCACGGAGGAGGCGGGGGGTGCCAGTGAAATCGCTGGGAGAGAAGCTAGTTTGAGAGCGATGAAGCCTGGAACACATTGCATTGACTGGGGAGCTATTCAGTCTCGCAGCTCCAAGCAGCCAGTCAACAATAGGCCCCTGGAAACTGTCCCAGGAAGGACTGCGCTCTCACAGTTTAATACACCGATCACAGGCACAGCTAGCTGAGGGGGGAGGGGTGGGTCAACAGTGGCTCTCCCATCAGACAGACAGCACAGAGCCGAAACACTGCAGGCTCCTGTCTGTCCCTTCTGGGGACCGGAGCAACGAAAGTAACAGATATTAACATGCCCCCTGATATCCTGAAAGACAGGGATTTTGCATCCCAGCCGATAATCTTGTCAAATTTATATATGAAGGTGCCTGATAAATCCCCCCCAGTGGTCATCTACAGGATGTACTACAAAATGAGAGATGGTTAAATTTGTAGGCAATTGGGCTCAATTTTAAGTCGTGCTATCGTGCTTAACAGTGAAATGTAGTCTAAGCTGTAATTGCAGCAGATTAGGTGAATGAGATTCCTGGATATTTCAAGTAACTCCAGTATCTTTGCAGTGCTCATTGCTCTTCCATTCCCCTCGAATCGGGGAGTTTTAATCCATGGTGTTGCTTGGGAAACTCTCGACCATGTAGGAGAGGGCTGTAAGGGACTGCGTGAGAGCAGGTCTAGGGCCGGCACGCAGCTCCCTGACCTGAGAGATGAGGTTGACGGAGGACTCCAGGCTGCGCAGCTGGGCGGTCTGAGCGTCCAGCAGTTTCAGGACATTGCTGGCCATGGTGCTGATTTGGTAGGCCACGCTGGCCAGGGACTGTGTTGTGAAGGCCTTGGTCTCTTCCAGAGCCTTCTTTGTATCTTCCACCTGGGGGAGAGAGTGAAACAGATCTCGTTAGCTCACACTGAGAACACGAGCCGGCTGCTGGCCATTCCTCTCCGGGCTGAATCTTTGTTCTACGATCCATCTGGAATACTTCCTACGGATGAGCAGATCATCGTTTGTCTACATAATCGCAGGCATTTTTTCCTATTGCAGTTGTTTGTTTGTTTTTCCAGAGACACTGATTTCACCAGCAGCTCCCTTTTTCATCTCGGTCACGTTGCTTTCAGTGCGTAGTGCCTTTGACATGAACGCTGAATTTGAAAATGAACGCCGAAGTTGTTCTGTGGGTGTGAATTGAAAGCAAATTTCAAACTGGCTCAATAAATGATTTTCTCTGACCCTAGCAGGAAGAAGTCCCAACGCTGATATTTTTAAAATTGCATTCTGCACTGAATGAAACTGGAAGAAGAGACCTGTCAGAATGATTTTTTTGGGTGGTAGGTGATAGTGATCGTTTCTTGTTGCCCGGGGCAATGTGAATTGATCCGGAGAGCGCGTTTTCCACTCGGAAACCTGGGTTAGAAAAAGCCGTGACGCCTATCAGTTTGATCGCTGCAGGCAGCGTCCCACAGAGTTTACACCTGCGTCTGAAAGTGATCACAGAGCTCAGAAGGTTCAGAACCAGTCAGAAGTGAAACTCTCAAGAGAAGAAGGAAATGGGAAGTATGCTCTAAAACAAAACTCCGAGCCTTCCCGTACTGAATTGTCTGCAGACAGCTTTTATTCCACATCCCTCTTTTCATGTGCAGAAGTAATGATCAGCTTGAAGCACAGATGTCTTTAGGAAATTGGCCCCTGTCGTGCTACAACTCCCTGGTTTGTTTGCCACGCACACAGGACGGTTCAAGTGCAGTTTGGCTATGATGAAGAAAGAAAGCGTCGGATGGTTTTGCCACATCTCCCTGAAAATGTGCTGAGCTGGTTTCCATCCATCTTAGTTCTTCTTTCAGAATGAATCCGCTTTCACACGGCCGCTGTATGAATCCGAACAGGCACCCTGAAAGCATGACCTCTGATAACCCTTCCCAGCTCAGTGTTTTCACATCCTTTCCCAGGCACTGTGTCTGGTGCAGCCTAGGTGAGGAGCTGCTGGGGGTTGTGCCTTATTAAATAAATGATATACTGTAACGCTAGAACACATGCTGTGCCTTAGAGTCCGAGTTAAAAATCAGTTTCATCAGCTCTTTGAGCTTACTGCAAGAGAAACAGTAGGTTTGGTGACACTTTGCCTTTTCAAATGTTAAAGTAATTGCGAGTTCTGCCGTAGACTCTGTTCTACCACTTTTGCTCATTGTGTCTTCCAACAGGCCACATTTGTTTGGCCTTTTCAGCAAGAGCTGAAACTTGCATCACGTTTTAATGAAGTGTTGCAAAACTCGAGGGTGTTTACAGAAGGCAGCTGTGCCTGTCTATGGTAAAGCCTTAAGGTTAGTTGAATGTTTCTTCAACAGTCAAATTTGAGCTGGTTTCAGTGTCCTCTGGGATTCAGGCAGAGCGGAGCTTAGCATGGCTTCTTCACACCGTTTCTGACAAAGTCTCAGAGCATGCTCATGTTTTTAGCCCCAGACGAAACCGCGAGATTCTGTCACCCACATTTACAGGACTTGTGACGACATTTCTCATGCCCTGATCCGAAAACCCCTTTCCTTCCTCTTTCTAAATCTCCTCGGCGCCAGGACTGTTCTGTCTCGATCATTTGCCTTCCAGGGTGCGATTTCATCAGCGCTCGAGAATCTTTGTGACGGCCAGAGGTGAGCTAGTTAGGAACCCTTAAAGTAGAGAGAGAGAGACAGGGGGCACAGAGAGCCAGCCCAGAGCAGACGTGCCTGCAGTGGTTACAGCAAAGTGGAAATGAGAAAGGGTTACGAGACAACATCACTCAGCCCATCACAACCTTGGATTTGAACGTGTTTCTGCCTCCTGGACTCCAACTAGAAACTTTCTCCTTTGTATATATTTCTCTCCGATTGATCTCTGAGCAAACCAAAAAGAATTTTCAGAATCACACCATATCAGCAACACTTGTTTTTTTTTTTATAAATATGGCTGCTGCTCTAGATGGACAGGATTTATGTCGTAAGGTCTAAACAGCTGTTTTCTGTTCCCTGCTTTCCTTTAAATCCTGTCCTTGTTTTATTTATTTATTTTTGCTGCCAAGTCTGAAAGTCTCCTGTGTCCACCTTCTCTGTACTGTTAGACTTCTATATACTGTACTTTGGGTGAATATCAATGTCCATTGTCTGGATTTTTCAGAATTGTTATTAGTTTTGCAAGTATCCAATCTATGGGTACAGTTCATCTCCCTAGTGATAACTGAAATGCTTGGATAAAGATCCAGGTGGGGCTGCACATTGGTGGTGTAGGGGAGTCCTCATTACCTGTAAAGCACTTTGAGTGGAGCATCCAGAAAAGCACTATATAAGTGTAAGAAATTATTATTATTATTATTATTATCTATTGTCATGTCATTTGCCAAACCACTTTTTACCGTACCGTGTCGCAGGAAGCCAGAGCCTACCCTGCAAGCAACGAGCGCAAGGCAGGGTACACCCTGGACAGGACGCCAGTCCATCGCAGGGCCAGTCCAAGCCCATCCTACAGGGGGACAATTTGGAGGCCACAGTAAAGGCTTAGGGGGGGTATTTGGCCCGGACACCGGGATAACTCCCTACTCTTCTCGAGAAATGTCCGGGGATCTTTAATGACCACAGAGAGTCAGGACCTTGGTTTAAAGTCTTATCTGAAAGACGGCGCCCACTACAGTATAGTGTCCCCACCACTATACCTGGGCATTAGGACCCACACAGACCGCAGGGTGAGCGCCCCCTGCTGGGCCTACTAACAGCTCTTCCAGCAGCAACCATAGCTTCCCAGGAGTCTCCCATCCAGGTACTGACCGGGCTCAACCCTGCTGAGCTTCAGTGGGTTAAAGGTCTATCAATAATGTTAAATACTTCTTTAAGTTTGAAAATAGTGTTACCTTGGTCATTAGCATAAGTCACAATTACTAGTAACTAGTTATGCTAAAGCACCTTCTTTTTCTACAGCTTAGGGGTACCTGCATGAAATATTAATTTAGCATTTACTTTTTTTCCATCTAGTCTTATTATGAATCCAGTCTTATCTTGCAGATTATTTACTTCACCTGTTACAGTTTGTGTGCTTGGATATTATGAAAGCATGTAATGTTATTTTTAACCTTCACTGCAGGTATGAATCTCTCCTTGTGATTCTAGTTTTTTGTTTTTCAGTTGCACTTGCAGTTCGATATATTTCTTTTCTATTTTGGAATCTTCTGGCTCGGGCGTCCTTCTGCATTTCACTGTGTAACCCAGTCCTGTCTGTCTGTAGAGCTGTCCTGTTCCTCTGTGGGATTGTGTTACTCTCACTTTGTGCTGCTCTTGCCTGTGGTCTGGTTTGTTTCTGTCTCTCATTTCGGAGTGCTCTGTGTTTGTCCCCTGTCAGGACCCTTTCACTTTTTCTGTATTATCTCTCATACTGTCTGTGTTCTTTCCTGCCCTCATCTCCTGTCACACCTCAGGGCCCGACTGAGCTCACATTTCCTCATTTCACTGCAACTTCAGAGAGCTTTCAGTCTTCAAGAGCTACAGAACTCTTCGAAAGAATAGCTCATCTCTCAGGGCAGCAGAATACCTACAGTCAGGACTGAGCAAGGCAGGAAGGAAACCAACGTCTGCTTTTAGGGCACTTTTCTGGCCCAGTTTCCTGTTGTTGTCATCCTTTTTGCACTGCACTGCAACACGCTGGGCACCAGACAAGGAGAGCTCAGAGGTTTATACACACCCCGAGTCTTTGTGCATCCCTCTCACAACCAGGAAACTGCTCTAAGAATTGTGCGCCCGCATGGGAGAGCGAAAATTGTCTCAACAGTTATGTAAAACCAAGGGGTCGCTCAACCACAGGCATGAAAGTGAGAGAACTGCACAAAGCAGTGAATTTGTCCTTTTAAATGGCAAGTGGTCATGTTTATTGTCTGCCCAGTTCCGGAGTATTTGAAGTGCAGAGATTGCGCTGCACTTACTTGCTGTGTTTCTTGTCAGTTTTAGGGGGTAATGTCCATCCATCCATTTTCTAACTGCCCAATCCAATTCAGGGTCACGGGGGAGTCTATCCGAGCAAGCAATAGGCGCAAGGTAGGATACACCCTGGACGGGACACTAGTCCATCATAGGGCAAACACAGACACACACTCACTCCAGGGCCAGTTTTCGCAGAACCTGATTAACCTACCAGCATGTCTTTGGGCTGTGAGAGGAAACCGGAGCACCTGCAGCAAACCTTTGCAAACACAGGGAGAACATACGTACTCTATGCACATAGCACCCCAGGAATTGAACCCCAGGTCTGAGCACTGTGAAGAAGCAATGCTAACCAGCGTACTGTGTGAGGGTGTAGCATGTCAGATACAAATTAATTTGTGTCTGTATATACTGCTGATGTGGACAGAAGGGGTGGTTATGGGCAACTGTATGACCAGCTGTCTGAAGTTTTTTTTAGTCTTTAGTTGATTCACACTAGCATCTTCAGGATGCCTTATAAATATACCTTTGAGTCAACCTGGTCTCAAAAAAGACGCTGTGGTAACAGAAACTGGTTATGGTTGGTGGCATAAAAAAGCGCTGACACTTGTCAAGCAATGCAACATTTTTGTAGGAGAGTATTCTGTTGTGTTCTAGGTTATTAACAGTACAGTGTAAGTGGTACTCCTCGTTCTTGCTTATTTTGTAACATCTGAATTGGAACTCTAAAGTGTCCTAATGTATGCATTTAAGGAAATAATATGAACCATTTGATACATATATGCTATTGGTTCTCATTTTATGTCTTTAATGCCTATCAGTATAGTTCTATAATACAGTATCACAAGTAATAAGCTGCATAATACTACAAGATACCGCAGAATAAGGACAAACCCGAGTAATGAATTGGACAGTAGTATACATGAAGAGCTCCTAAAGTTATTTTTTTTTAGGTTTTGATTCGTTGTTAAAATGGGCTTGCTGGTTTCATAAACTGTAAAGTCATGGCCTTGCACTAGCCTCTTAACCTCACAAGATTCCAGTGTGCAGAAAAAAACAGATTGAGTTTAACCGTCAGCTGTCTCCTGTCCAGGCCTCCGTGCAGAGGAAGACGAGGAGGAGGAAGGTGTTTTCGGAGGGGCAGCGGGTACCTGCTGGCGAAGCCGGTGGGTTGCACCTACCTGTAAGTAGTTGCTCTCGCAGTAGTCGGCCACCTTGTGCAGGTTGGCGTAGTTGTCCAGCAGTGCCTGCCTGGCACTGGGGGCCTCCTGTAAGATTGTCTGGATCTCCTCTCCATTCTGATCTTTCATCGTTGCCCTTTGGCGGC